TGTTCAATACAAAATTTAAATGATGACATTGCTAGTTCTAAGTCAAAGGTTTACTGTATTATAAATTTGTTATTATTAAAATAAATGAATAGATCATATATGTTAAATATGCAAAAAAGGAATAATTAATATCAGAATGAGAAAATTTAATTTAATTATATTGATGTATTGTATAGATCAACTAAAAGTTTTCATTCATAGAAGTATCCATGTTGTATGGTTAGTAGAATTTATCATTTTAGATGGTAAAAAACAAATTTTCTTTTCCAAAGATCAATAATATGCAATATTGCATTATTCAAATAGCTGTGAATTCAAATATAGGTTAATTATTAACATTCTAACTGATATTTCATTGTGGGATGTTAACAATGTTATTTTGTATTATAAAGTAATGATTAAAGACAAAATGCCTTTTTAACCCACAAAGAAGCTACTATACTAGCATCTTTCTGCCATAATTCAGACAATTATTAGAAGAAATTACTTTGATTATTTGATATTCTGATAAATTTTTTACATTGTTAAATAATTTATAACTACAGTACAGTGTCGATTATCCGAATGGCAATCAACCGAAATATTGGTTAACCGAAAGCGTTCCAGTCAAACTGTGTCATGCTGAATCAAATATTTTTGATACTAGATTAACTTCTAAAGTATAATTTTTTTTGTTTTTATATTTTTCAATATATTTATTTTGCTTGTACAAAATAAAGAAGTAATTTTTAATGATACAATAGCCACAATTATTATTTTTAAAATTTTCGTTAGGCTTAACATTGACAAAAATTCAACGCGAAGCGACACGCAACAGGGAAAATTTTAAACATGGGTTATATTAATATACTATTATTGGGATATACTAATATACAGTACTATAGTAATAATGTATTTTTCATATGTAATCGGTTATCTAAAAATCGATTTTCCGAACAACCCCAGTCCCCAACTGATTCGGATAATCGACGCTCTACTGTAACTATATCTGGCATTACAGAATATGGCAATGATACTAAAAATTAAATGTAATAGATTAATGATAAATCATGATAAAAAATATAATTGTGAATTGTTCCAGATACACTAAAATTGTGAATTAATGTTGTGATCTTAAATGCATTTTCTTGGTAAGCCAAACCCTATTTATACAATTTTTTCAAGTAAAGTGAGAATAATATACAAGTGAAACTACTTCTGAATTGCATTCAAAGTGTAAAGTAATGCATGGTACAAATTAACACTGTATAACTGAATTTGTATGTGTAATTTTTAACAAAGAAGTTTCAATTTATTACGTGTAGGCCTACAATACATTTGAACAACATATAAAAGAAAAACAGTGTAAAATTAACTCATGTACTTTTAAAAAATTAATAAAGTTTTGCTTGCTTCTTGTTTTTTTGATGGACTTGTCCCATACTAATACAATATGTGACATTAGTTATCTCCTTCTGTCATGTGAAATCAGAAAGTCATTCTAAAAGATCAGTTCACACTGACAGCAAACAGTAAAAACAAATAAGAAACCTGAAAGCAATTTTTATTTGCTTACTGAAATTAGTTTATACTAAAAAATGTGGAAAACAAAATGTTCAATGTGTTAGCCTGGTGAGTGATTTGCTAAAAGGAAAAATTCAGTGGAAATAGTGTCACATGTTATGTATTATTTGCTTTGCTTTTTGCATTTGCTGTAAGTGTGGACTAACCTGAAATGAATATATAATTTGCTTTTTCATTTCTTTAATAACTGAAGCTTTTCCATTTTAAAGTAAATAAGTTCTAAGAGAAAAAAAAGTGCTGTAGATACCTAAAAATATGACATACTATATAAGTGTAAAATCATATAAATAAAAAAATGAAGTGCTTTATAATGGAGAAAGTACTCTGCAGAAATATTTAACACATAATTGCAAAAAATGCACAAGTGAGACACACATACAGGATTTGACTGTTTCTTTGTATAGTTTCTTTCTTCGTTCTGCTTAACCCATAAATGGCTGTATATATACAATTACTTATATGTAATACTTGATTATAATCAATTTATTTTTAGAGAAAAAGTTTGAAGGTAATATGAAATGTGGAAATAAGCAAATTCAAAATATACACTACATAAAGCTTTTATAATTGTTTATATGAGAAGGAAGTTTAGGATTATTTGATTATTACATTCTAACTGAATAATGAATTGTATGTGAAAATGGAAGCTTCTGTAAAAATTAAGCCAGATTATTATGTATGAACATGTATGCAATATAAATTTAGTGTAGGAAGAATGAAATAAAATGCATTTTGATACAAAATCATGGACTTTCAGGAAAATGTAGATAGACAACCTTACGTAAAAAAAACAGTTTACTTTTAATAATGTATTGTATGTTCAAACTAAATTTAATGTCATAAAATCCAACATTAAACTGTAAAAAAAAAGAAAAAAAAAGAGAGAAATTAATTAAAATAATAAACTTTAAAATGTGAGTACAATTGTCTCCTTTTTTAAACTCTACCTGCCTCATTGACTCTGAGGGACAGTTTTACTTATTTAAAGTAAAACTGTTCCTTTAAATTTACTTATTTAAAGTTTCTTCAAATATATACTAAATAAAAGAATCAAACAGATTTCTGCCTTGTACTTTATTTTTAAATAAAAAAGTAAAATTACTCAAACATTCACAGTTATAAGTCTTCTTATATATAATTTTAAAATTTAATACTAAATTTTATGCATAATAAATATCATTATTTGAATATTGTCATTAATGGATGTAAAATAATTATATTTTATAATTAAAGAATATGTACAATTGTTAACAATAGATTAAAATTTGTGAAAATGTATTTTATTGATTTTTTTGTTAAAAATATACTGTATAATTCAGATATTTATAAAATTTATATAGATGTTTATATAATTTATCTGAAAATTATGTATTTATGTTAAATTATGCAATATGCTTTATGTTTATTTGATATGCTTAACATTGTAATGACAAATTAAAACTATATTATCTATCTTTTCATAAAAAAAATTTCTTTTCCTTTACTTTTAATATTAAGGCAAACTTACTGAAATATAATATACTTATAAAGAATGATGAAATTGCCATAAATTTAACATTTTTAAAATTTGATAAAACATTATTTATAATCATTTATGTTATTTTTGCTTAATAAAAATATTTGACTGAAAAAATAAAATATGCTTATCATATTATACTTGTACATGTTTTCATTCAAAACTGATGATTAAAACATTATAGAAATCAAAAACTTTATCTCAGCTAAATATGTTTTGAAGTATTTTTTTTCTTTCAGTCAATTATTAACAATCTATCACATTAATAGCAATTATTCTTGAAATTAAAATAATCATATCCTTATATATGAAACTGAGTATTATTAAACATATTTGAATATGATTAAACTTGATCATTGATATTTTTATACAAAATACAGTATGTTTGTTATTTTTTACTCATTTATTGAATGACTTGCAAATATCAAGAGTTATTTATATTTCTTTCAAAAAACTGACAACAGTCCTTGTCTCTCACAAAAAACCTTAATAATAAGAAAATAATAGCTACTTGGGAGATTGTTACTAGTTTAGTTACCTAAAAGTCATTCTACAGTAATTGTTTTAACAATTAAGTTATGGATATATTTTTGATACATTAAATATATAATTTTAATGATTCTATTCAAACAAATTTACAAAAGTCAGTAGACACAAAAAGTAATTCAATTTTTTGTAATATTTTAACATTCTCAATTTTATTCTTAAATAAAACATCACTATAATGAAAAATTTACAAATCTATAGCTATCATTTAAATACCAAAAAAATTTCATTTTTACTTATTTATTGACATAATTTTCTTCATTTTGATTTATTGACTTTTTAGTTCTGCATAATGATTCAATTTTCTATATTTGTTATATTGTTTCAACTCTTTATTAAAATTTTTTTATTAAAAATAATTTTCAAATTATTGTAATATAAATGATTATCCCTTTAAATTAAATCTTCCATAAGACTGTTTACATGAATAGTATAACATGAAAATTTTTAATTTAAAAGAATATTTTTTCATCCATTACTTACAAGTAAAATAAGAAGCTTTTGTATAATAAAGACTAAATTTCAAATCGTAATTTACAATCATGCATAATGTTATGCTGAATAATATCTGATAAGGTATGTGTTTTTGTTTTGTCAAAATAAAAGTGAAATAGATAGCTCATTGTTCAAAATACTACTCACAAATATAATAGAGAAGAATATCTTCAACTGACAAATTCATTTTTGAAAAATTCTATAGTTCAAATCTACTAATATAAAAGCATTTGTTACTAATATTTAATAAATGTTATATTTTATCATAATGTTCAATACAAACAAAATATCTATTCTTCACTTAATTTAATATCAAAGTGATCATGTATCATTTAAGATAATTTTTGTTGAAATTATGAGATATTTGCAACCTTTATTTTCAGTTTTAATAAAACTATCACAATAAAAGTTCTTGTAAAACTTGTAGAAAAGGTATATAGCCAAATCAAAAATTCAATAAATAAAACTGTAATACTTTAGGTGTATTATTTCTTTTACATGTAATAAAACAATTATTTTCAGAGTTTAATCTCAATGTTTGATTTGAACTAATACAAACTGATGAAAAATTCTCCAGTTTTAGAAGGATAATAAAGTATTACTATTGATTTGAATATTTAATTAATAATACTTTTAATCTACAAACTATTGTAATGTACTTTTTTTTGTAAAATCTCTTCATATAAATATTGGTTTATTCACTGAAATCTTAAGGTTTCTTTAAATTAATTAAGTTATTGAGTGACGAACTGAAAAATTTTAAAACATTTTTTGATACTATGTTCATTGTTAATTCAGTTGTGTGTAAAAAACTAAACAATAAAAAGTAATAAAATAATCTGAACTCACCAATTAATCTTATGTTCTTTAAATATATCATCATAATTACTCATTACTGAAATCTGTATTATATTTTGAATGTAATATTTTTCCAGTGTTCCTAATGGAAAATAGATTAATGAATTAATGAATGAGAAATTAGAAACTACCCTAAATATTTATTTTATTAATTACTGGAAAGTTCTCTAATTATCTATTTATTATAAACTTATATTTTAGAATGTAAAATAATTAGGATTATTACAAATATACATATTAGAACATTTATTTTTTGAAATCCACATTCACAATTTTAGATTCACACACAGTCAAACTTAGTGTAATGAGTTCACTTATTGTGAGACAATCTTCATTTTGTCTTCACTTAAGACATATTTTCAAGCAAATATTCAGTTATAATGTTTTTACATCATGGATAAAACTATTATCACTTGAATGAATCCTCTACTGAGTTATCAAAACTATGTTAAAAGTGTTTTATGATTTCTTTTATGACTCACTTTTACTTTTATCCTTCAGTATTCAGTATTTTCTACAATAAACATATCATTTAATAAAAAAGCACCTCTCAATTCATGAAAAAAATCAAGATTTATCCAAAAAATAGAGCATGGATTAAAAAAATATAAAAATGTGCAGAAAATTGGACTTGTCATTTTCAATGATATCAACTATGTGGAAGAATGAGTATGTTTATTTAAATCTTGGAGAACGGCATAAAAAATTTAAAATGTACAAGCAATTATTTATTGTGACATCGTCACAATGCTAGGCTGCAATTTTTAATCATATTTTAAATTTATTTAACTTAAATACTGTCTATGTTCTCCACCTCAAATTAGTAGTGGTTTGCCCCTGTACATCATACTTTTCCTGTTACAATAGAGTCATGCCTGTCATCTATATGACTCTTTTCAGGGAAAATTTGAATTGAAATAACGTGACTTTTGGTTTGTACCGAAGTTTGTATATAGTTAATCAGGACCTCTTGCCTCTAAGGTTTCCATATATGGTCTCGTCTTTCATCTATCTAACTCCATTCTCAAGATTGACAGACAGATGGTTGACAGTGGAAATTTATAGGTCTACAATTTTTCAAATTGCAGCCCAATTATTATAGATGTCAATAAAGCATCAAAGTAATGATTTCAAGTTCAAAGAAGTACAAGATTTTCAATTGATGGACTAATATTAAAAGCTCAAACAGAAAAGTTTGCAAAAAACTTGACATCAAAACTTTGCAACTTAATTATTCTAAAAACAAATATAATATCATATATGGAAAAATAACATATTGAATAGTCACATGAATCACATATTTTTTTAAGGAAAACAAAAAAAAAGGAATATTTCAAAATGACAGTAAACCAGTTAAAAAAACATCATCATTTATTATCTTATACACAGGTAATCATTACAATATATGATAACTACTCTCCAAGTAACAAACAAAATCATACTTCCTCATAAATAAATTCAACTTGTGTATAATTTGAAGTGCTAAATGCTTTTATATATGCAAAAATAAGTTTAGATACATTTGAATGTTATAATTTATAGTTTAGTTGTAATTGTTTAACATTTAATACTCTAAAAATTTGAAATATAAAAGTAATCTATTCTGTTTATAATGTCTATTCAATCCTGAAGTATTGGTTATTTGTTATAATGTTTTGCAAAATGCAATATTTGAAAGTTCCTTAAAAATAAAGTTTAGTTTTATATAAAGCAGTTAAGGTATAAGTTTAATTCTTGTTCTAGTATATTAACATGTCTCTTTAAAAATTTTATTTAAATTTATTGTTTTGTATTTTATGTAGCAGAACACACAATATTTCAGTTAGAAAAAAGAACATAAAATGAAGACTGATGAGAGGGCATAGGTTCCAAAATGTATATTAAGTAATGGCTTAGAAAATAAACTTCCATTTTTCAACCATTGTTTTGGTATTATATTTTCAACCGTTGATTATTGTCTTTTTAAGTGAAAATAAAGTCCACAAGGTAACATTGAAAAAAAGGACATACTTAAAGAACTTAGATAAATCAAACTCAATTATTATTCCAATGTTTTTAATATCATATTTACTTGAAAATAGCCTAAGTATATTTAAAATAAACAAAAATAAATCATAAAAACATACCTGAATTAAAATAAGGGTCTAACAATTCCATTATTTTTTATGTTTCTACTATTTTCCATATCTCAATAGCTTCAACAGAAATGATGCAATGAAAATGCTTAAAATATATTTGTAGAATTCCATATATTCATAATGAGTTTTTAATAGCTGAAACTGGTTGAAAATTTATATCTCACACTATCAACAATTTTTGCAATAACTATTAATATATTATTATTACTATTAGAAATAAGGATGTTTAAAAAAATCAAACACTTATTTTTTCCATTTAACATATTTTTCTGTTTAATTATTCTTAACTGTATCACCTGTAAAGTCATTACAACTTCATTACTTTGCCAGTACTTTTCATTTCTGTAAAAGTTATACACATTATTTAAAAGTTCTTGAAAATTAGAATTTGGAAAAATTTGTTGTTGTATTGTTTCTATTTTCAATTGTCATGCATAATGTTTTTAAGCAAAAAATTTTGGTCAGTAAATCATTCATATAAATATTCTTCATACAAAACTTCTATTGTGCAGTATTTTTCCATTTTGAAGTCCCTTATAGTTTTTTAGTCTATATTCATAGTTTTATCTTAATATGTTAAAGTCACAAATATATTAAAAATTTGCTGAAAAATGTTTGTAAAAAATAGATTTATTTTATGTTAAACTATAATGAATAGGAACATTACTTAAAACTTATGCTTAAAAAACTAAATATATGTTAGAAGATTGGAAATTAGTAGATGGATAAGTAATTTAGAATTAATTACTGTTAAAATTACTAATTAATGAAAAAATAACATTTTAATAACTTTTCTTTTATAGACTTATTTATGTAATACAAAGACTTAAATATATAATAGGTCATTACGGACATAAAAAAAGAAGAAAATTTTATACTGAATAAAACCAGGCTGCCTTAAACAACAAAGAATTGGTTATGCACGTTTCCATGATGTTTTGTGAATAAAACTAAGTTTTCAGAGAATTTCTTTGTCTAAAAGCTTTTTCTTATACAGTGAATGGCAAAAGTCAGGAAACACATGGCTATTTGATGATGCATTAGCTAAGCCAGGTACAAATTCTTTTCCTTGTAAAATACAAAATAAAAAAAAACCATTTTTCAAATTGTCCCATTTTCAGCTTCTTATTGGCTGATCCAAAAAGTATCCAATAATAAAGGGTATCTTCAAATCAGAAGAAAATTCCATTTCAGAATGCAAATTTTGTTGCTTAGAAGAACTGCTCAGCCAATTCTAGTGTCAACCAAACAATACTGTACAAAAAAGACAGTAAATTGTTTGGATGCAGTTGTAGTGTGTAAAGCAACACAGATAATGTGAATTGGGTTTTTGACAGTATTTTTGGCCATCAACATCAGCTTGCATCACACACAATAAATTTGACAAAGTATATGACTGAAAAAAGAATTTTTTTGGGTAAATAATTATAACAGAAATAATGATTTAAAGCCTTTCATGCTTGGTACCTGAATTGGCCAATTCTTGCTCATTTTATAATGTAAAAATTGTTACAAAAATTCAAATAAGATGAAAGTATCTGTGACAAACCCCAACTTGACTGCAAGAAACCTGCAAAAAAATAAATAACTCATTGATATTGTAGCACAATTAGAAAATTTGTCTTTCTTCCAGTAAAGTTGCATCAGAATCCAGTGTAACACAAAGGTCTGTTCTCAGGAATTTACAAGAATTCAAATTCAATTCCCAACAAGCTGCAAATTCACCAAGCACTGAAGCCTAATTGACAAACTTACACTTAGAATTCTGCCATTGGATGTGCAAAAAACTAATTGCTAAATGGGATACTAAATAAACAGAATTGTTGTATATGGGCAATAGAAAATTCCCATTCAATGCAGAAGTTGCAAGACCTCCACCTTCCAGGAGTTATGGTTTTGGTTGTAGGATCTACAAAAAAGCATGTAATCCAGCCATATTTTTTTGAGAATTCATAAACTGGGAAAGCATATTTAAACCTGCTTGACAACTATCTACAATTGTGGCTTGATACTTTTCCTTTGGAAGCTGAAAGTTAATTTTTCAGCAAGATAGATTGTCAGCCCACTTTCTGCAAATAGTACAAAAATGATTAAATCAAGAATTTGGCAATAACTGCATTAGACATGCAGGGATATTTATAATATGACCTCCAATATCTGCAAAAACTTGATCCTTTGTAGTGTTTCTTAAGGGACACACAAAAGATATCATGTATGTCAAAACTCCTTGAAACTTAGATAAGTTAAAACATGAAATTACATTTGCAATCAGAAAAATTATTCCACTACAGACCACTTCAAAGATACAGTAAAATTTCCCTTAACAACTACAATCATAAGTTTAACAAGTCAATTGTTTTTATGATGAATGGTAAATCTTTTAACAAGATTATATAAAATTCATAATTGTTGTATAATTCATATATTAATACATTTTTATGAAAAAGCAGAAAATGCTCCAGAAACATAGAGTAGATAACTTAAAAACTTTTTTAATACATTATTGCTTGTGTTCATTAATGTTATCAATACATAACATGTCTCATTATAGTCCAATTTCTGTAAGCATTATTTTAATAAATGCAATTTTATATAATTTTCCTGTATTTAAAAAACATTAATAACTATATTTATAAAAAGTTTTGAATCTGAAAATAATGTCATTAAAGATATCTATCTATCATTATATAATGATAGATATCAGATATCTTTAATATTTTATTTGCTTTAATAACAAAGATTTTAAAAATAAATTCTTTCCGTAAATTTTACATTTGTTTAAGGTTTTCTTAATAACATATCATATATTATATTATAATTATTATTGCTGATATATCAACAATATATTCAAAATATGATTAAAAAACCTAAACTCTCAACATACTTTCAAATTTTTCTAGTATTTCAAACATGAAATTAGCTAGTACAAAAGCATGTTGAGATTTTAGATTTTTTTTTATCAGATTTTATACATTTCTTATGTTTGTAATCATTATTGAAGGTAATAGTATTTTTGTTTTACTTGTTATTATATCTATATAAAAAAGATTACATATTGACTATACATATATATAAGCATGTGTGTGTACATATATATCTATTATGTATAATATCTTCTATATGTACTGTACATCTTAAAAGCACAAATAATTTTAAAAATTTGTTAAATTAAAAAGAAGAATAAAAATAAATATTGTAAATTTGTGTAATTTTAGATTGGAAATAATTTTATATCTTGTGCTATGTATGTAATAAATATGGTTAACAATGGTTACAGTATCAAATGATAAAAAATATACTGAAAAATACAATATATGGGAATATCAATACAAATTACTAACTGTAATTTCTTACCTGAAGATTAAGTATACCAAATAAATATTTGTAAAACTTCCTTAATTCTGTACAACCACCATCCAAGAAACCATGTCAAATTCTTTTATTTCTTCACAATACACTACATAATAATAAATGAATTATTGAAAAATTACTACATTACAAGCAACAACCTACATGCATTTAATATTAGGAAACTAAATATTTAGATATAAACCAACCATTATAATAAATACAAATGGTAAGAGTAGATTTTTAAAAAATATTCTTTTTTCGGGCACTTAATAGTATGTTTAACTATAACAACGACATTCGAATTTACGAGCTAAAACTGTAGGAACCTGATGAAGAACCCAGAAGGGGTTCGAAAACGTTTGTTTTTCGTTATTTTTTCGTTGTTTATCGTACCACACTGTAAATTGGTTCAGTATATGTGAGTATGTTTAACTTTACAGACAGACACTTTCAATCTATTACAGTCATCTTCAGGTATTAATTTGATTATAAAAAAATTCAAAGATATATAATACTTTCATCTTAAAATTTTCAACTAGAATAAAAATTCTGTAATTTATTTATTCTATATTTGATTCAGTAAATAACATTTAAAAAAAATTATAGACAATAATTTTGTCTACTGTTTTATTAAGTACAGTCCAATAGTCTTAAAATGTATAATCCAAATGTCTCTGCATAATCCTACATAACATTGATAGAAAGCTGAACATTCTTAAAACAGATCAAGAATGTTCAGCTTATATTATATTAAATATTATAACAAATTTATATTAACAACATTATATTAAAATTTATACATTTTTATATATATTTAAATTAAAATGTTTAAAATGTGACAGTTTATAATACATTAAAATATAAGAGCATTTTCCAAAAAATCACAAAATCTACTTTAGCAATAGATTTAGACCTAATTAATTTATTTAATTCACATTTGATAAAATTATTGCAATAAATAAATATGTTTAAACTATTAGGAGGAATTAGGAATGTATTGAAAATAAAATTAAGTGGTTACAGACAAACCAAGAGAAGAATGTGTAAAATCGTATGGTTGTTGTGGATCGGAAGTTTAAGAGGAAATATAGTGAAGTTTGGAAAAACAGAAGTTAAAGTGCCATTTGAAGGCCTGCTGAGGAGGGACGAACAAGTCCGAAACAAAACACAAGTTTGAAGTGTATGTGTTCAGGTGAACTAAATAAAGAACATTATTTTTGAACTGTATGACTAAATATCTGCATCCATAATTTTCCAGTATAATAAGTCCTGTTAATATATAGAAAGTACTAGTATACAAAATAAATTATAAATGTTTAAACTGCTTGTGGTTGTTAGCAGACTAGCAGTGTAACTTGTTTACCGTTCTGCTGGCATGAAAAGTAAACAAACAGAGAGAGAACATGTTTTTAAATCTGACTTCTTAAGAACTATTATAGAAAACTTCAATAATTTTAACAAATTTTAAATTATTTTGATATATTTCATAATTGCTTTAAAAAATATTTTGTGAATTCAAAATTCTAATTATTGTGACCACCACAATTTTTACAATTTTTCATGGATAACTCAATGTATATTCTACTGAAAATTGCTAAAATGGAAACTAAACCTTAGTGTAATTCACACCACTGTAATCCCATACCTCCAGAGTAGATGTTGAAAGCATGAAAATCACTGGTATGCAGTTTAGATGTCATCTGAAGCATTAAAGAAACATTTTATTCTGTTTCATTCTATTAACAATTTATTATAGATCCATATAAACAACCAAGACTAAATATTCCATAATAAAAAAATCATTAAATGCCTGATTATTTGGCTATATATAGTTTTGAATTATATTTTAGATAACTACTTATAATTAAAATGATATACAGGTAATTTGTTTTGAAAAGTAGACAGTTAGAACACTACCTAATACTAATACAAGGTATGATCAATATATACAGAGACTTATTTTATATTATGGAGACTTTTATGTGTATTTGAGCAGCAGACTTGAAAAAGTGAGAAAATTAATGTTTTCTTACTGCCAAGCCAAGTTTCTTGCATTAGGTGTCAGTCAACAACAACATTATTAGTGATTCATGTCGTAAAATTGTGCAAGATGACCAGTTTCAAAGAGTAGTGTATATGCATCAAATTCTGCTTTAATTGGAAAAAAAAAAAAAACAGATGCAGAAACTGTTAAAATGATCAAGAAAGCTTTTAAAAAACATGCCATAACATGTTCATAGATTTATAAATGATATAATAGATTTAAGTTGTTACTTGTCAACTAAAGATCTAAGATCAGGAATGGCATTGACATCCACTTTGAATCAGAAAAAAAAAGGAAGAAATTGTCACCTTGATGAAGCAAAATTAGAGAACAGCATAAAAATATGGCAGAAGAGACTAACATTTCTCTATTCAATGACTTTACCTACTGTATTGTATTAAAAAAATAAATAAATAATTAGTAAATGCAGTCTCTAAAAAAGCAATTATGTAAGACATTTTGAACATTTGTTGCAGGTTTATCTAGTAACAACCATCAGTAATAATATATATACATTATCTGCAAGTACTTAATATTGTGTCTATTTGCAAGCATTTTTTTCTTGTAAAACATTCATTTCAGACCTATGTTTACAGGACCTTTTTTGATTTCTTTTCATGTGAGGTAGCATCCCTCCAAGTTAGTTCAATTAATTAATTAGTCGTCATACAATAACAGAAAAATAGTGCATCAGAAAGAATATTATTATTTAACAAATATTCAGGATAAGATTAATTCAAGACAGATGATTTAGATAATTAAAAATAATTCAAAAATTAGTAATTTTTCTTTCTTCTTTTCTTCCTGTTTTTTCTATTTACTTTAAGACATACTTTTATTCTCCTCTCAGAATCTTTTTCCTTTTTTCTGTTATATGATTTTAGAAACTATTGATTAAATTATAAACAAGATAATTCCCAAGAAAAATTATTCTTCAATGATAAGTGAACTATAGAACCATCTTGTTTTAGTTTTTTCCACTTTATATTTTTTGATAGTTGATTTCCTTTTTTATAAACATTTTTAAAAATATATTTTTGTCTATTTCATCTTCTCATTAAAGTATAAATTACATTTTAATATTGATTACACCTCACTTTCTAAATAGAATCATGCTGTTAAGAAAATCAAATACTGTGTCTTTTTTTCAGAAACTATTATTAATAAAATTCACAAGTCAGATAAATTACAATAAATAGTAACTATTTCAGAATATATTTGAAGCTACATATAATTTGACATTATCTATATTGCCTTCTGTGAAAGATTATTATTATAGTAACGTGTCATTAAAGCAGATACCAGCCTGGAACTCAAATACCTGAAAGACTGGGCACTACACAGAACTCACTGGAGAAAACTCATCTATGAAGCCACCAATAGTTGTACACGACTCAATGATTAAAGAAGAAGAAGAACACGTCATTGTTAATTAATACAAGAATAAACACATTTTTGTTTCTGTTTAGCTCCTAAAAACTTATATAAATTTAGAAAATTAAAATTCCTACTTTCTGAATCAATTCATTGAGTTTAAATTAACCATTTCCAATTCAATCTTATCTAATGAATAAATGAAAATAGCTTGATTCTAATTATTGAGCCTTTGGAAAATCAATTTTACATATTTCTAAAGTACAGCAATTAGATTAACACAATTCACATAATGATATAAGAAATATTTTCCAAATTCTATAATGTTTAAGGTATAAATTGTCATGTATTCATTAAAACCAGCTATGAAATTGGTATTATATTTATTATTACCAATTATTCTATAATTTTGACTCTTCCTTTACAGTTTTCCAACATTAACCATTTCTTTGCTGAGCATTCAAACCTCTCAATTCATCCTCAGATTTTTTTCTTTAATGTTTATTATTTCAAATTTTATAAAGTTAATTCCAAATTTTTCTTCTCAAAGTTTTTCATATTATATTACTGTTATTTCTTCATTACCAAGCATTATCATCCATATATTCTAAAAGATAATGAAGTAATTATTTGGCTAATAATGGACATAATATAGTAACTCACAAAAAAGTTCTTAAATTAACATTTAAATATATTTTTTTACTTATAAATTATCATAAACTTTAAATTTTAAATTGAAATTTCAAAATATATAAGTAACAAGCCAGTCACCACAATTTCTTTTATGATTTTCAAATCAAAATTTGTATTTGATATCATACCTTGAAATTTAAAATTGTTATAAGTAAATTTAAAATGTTATAAAAAATTTTACTCTGTATATTCAAAAATATTGAACTAAAAGTTTATTATATATTAACATAAATAACAAATTATAAATACATCTGAATATTTTCAATTAATTGTAAATGGTTGAATAAGTGTTTACGCATTCATCTGGGACTACTTGGGGTAAAGCACAAATTTTTTATGGAATATTGTTTAACATAGATTGTATATCTAAGACTCAAACATGATATAACTGGCAGATATTGCAAGCATTATCAGAGAGATAAATGTCAAATTCATTTACAGTTAATAATAAACAAATTAATTTATGCAAAGCAAAAAAAACAATTAGTCTGGAAAGAAAAAATGTTATTTTCTTTTTTTTTCTTATAAAAAATACATTAAAACAGTGTCTTATAAATATTTAATGTATGACAAAAATGATAAAATCAGAAATTTACAAAATTTGTATAAATATGAAAATTATAGGCTCAATATTTAACAACTGGAATAACTAGTGCTCACTTAACACAATAAAGTTTACTATTTTATTTTTGTCTTGTATATAATCTTGTTAAATTTTAATTGTTGGCTGCAATTTGAAAAAATTGTAGACCTATAACTGTCATCTGTCTGTCCTTCCTTAATCTCAAGAATGGAGTTAGATAGATGAAAGCAGAGATCAGATATGGAAAAATTAGGGGCAGGAGACCCCAATTAACTATTTATGAACTTCCAATGCAAATTGGAAGTCATATTATTTCAATTTAAAAATTTTCCCCTTAAAGAAGTTAAACAGATGACTGGTGTGACTCTATTGCTAACAAGAAAAGTATGATGTACAGGGGCAAAGACACTAT